TCTACTCTGCCCCTTGAAATGATTATAAAGATTGGATATTCTCATATAATTAAAAACTTAATCAGGGGGGGTCACGAAGCAATAATCATGTATATGGTTGTGTGTTTTCTTGAATTAATTAAGAATGCAATTAATATTGCTTGTTATTATAATTAATCCAACTTAATTAAGGGCAAGAGGTACTTTTGATTTGTAGCATCTTTATAAACCATAACAATGAAAATCATGCTACTTAATTATGTGAATACTTATTGCTGTTGTCGGTAACCAAAGCATATTTTGGGTCAAAGACTCAAAGTCCCTACCATATGACAGAATTTGGACGTGGAAATTTTGGGGCGTCACAGATATACATGCCAGGTGCTACTGCTAGCTAGGCCCATGCATGAAAGTTTCCATTGATCATCACTCCATATATTTATTTTAAGGTTTTTTTTTATTAAATTTTTTAGTATCCAAAATTATATTAGATTTTAATTAATTTAAAATTGAATTAAATCAGATTTCATAAAAAAAGAAATTCTTTTAGTATATGACTTTTTATTTATAAGATTTAAATTTGAGATTTTATTTAAAAAAATCAAATTCTTTTCATTCAAATTAAGTAATTATTGATTATTTTAAGAGTTATATATAAGAGTTTTCCTAAACCCCAATAGGGTGGCTCAATGATTTATTACAAAATGTGTGATAAAAAATTTAACGATAGAATTGACCACAAAAATTTAAAGTTTAAACATAAATTTAATTTGTGATAAAAAATGAGTTTTTATAACTAATTTTTTGTTAAACAAAAATCTATTTTCTTGTAAGGTTTAAAATAAGAGTTTAGGGAGGGGCAAAAATGTAGGCTTGACTGTTAAAAAAAACAGTCGCCTAAAGTGTGTATGATTGAGGTGGGATCGGTGCAGGTCGGACCAGCTATATAGTAAAGGTAGGCTTTAGCAGCGGGCTAAGTTGGACTTTATCATTGTTATAATCTTATATATATACTTTAATATTTATCCATGCCCAACGTCCA